GTTACTACCGTTTACGTCGGAACCGGTGCCCTATTGGTACCGCGTTTCGGTACCCAACCCTACTGAAGAAACTTAAAAACGTTAAGTTATAACAAACCTTTTTTCCTTTTGATTTCAAATTAAATTTATGGATTTGTATGTGACATTGGCGATAGCAATATCCTTGTAACGGGAACTCACACTTAACTTTAAAAGTGAATTATGTCTGTTTGTGCAGATTTTACTGAATTAAGTCCAAGAGACGCACTCTACACTACAAAAAAGGAATCTCAAGAAAGGCTTATTTCTGGGGAAAAAATGGTAAATAATTGTGTTAAGCATGTTTTGCATTAAAAAAGTAAGGTTGTTTTAAGAAAATCTGTCTAACTTTGTCTTAAGATATTACAGCTAATATTGAGCTTGATTCAAAAAGTTACAATAGTGGTTTGCATAATATCCCAGCAAGGAACACGATTATTTTTCTTATTTTAAGAGAAAGACCACTTGCACAGCTTCTCAGTTTAAGAGAAAGGAGTCTTGTCTCAGTGTTGTAAATTAGGCTTTTTAGTTTTTCATTGTTTTAATTTAAAAAAAATGCTACAATTAAGAATGCTTCTGGTGCCCTTAATTAAGACAAAGGTCTGTTTTTGCAGTGTAAGGGTTTCTACTGTCATAGCCACTGCTGCAGCTCCAACTTCTGACTGTAATGGTGAATGTGACAAATCTGCAATCTACAAAACTACCTTCCCTTTGTTTCTGGAACACTGGCATGCATCTGTCCATTTTACCACACACAATATCTTTGTCCGGCATCATAGCCACCCTCCCTGTTAAATGTTTGTGTTGATGTGTGTGTATTGTTAGCAGGAAGTCTCACTATAATCCCATCGGTGATGAAAAGGATGGCACCACCTAGAGCATGGAGGATGAAGAACGTAGCCGGGCGACCTCGGAGTTTGGCAGGATTACAGCAAGCAAACAAACTCCCATGTCCTGAAGAGATAGTGATACTCAGAGGTCTGGCATTTCATTTAAACAGAGTGGCCACAAACACACACAAACATGCCTTTATTTACCTTGACCATTGTCCCCAGTGGGGCTCATGCTGGACAGAGAGCTTCTGTCGAGCAAACGTGGATGGTTGCTGGAGCAAGGCAGCAGTCTCTCATAGTACATCAATGTAAGCACTGCCGCTGGCACAGGGAGCTGCCAGGACACACATACAAAGAGGCTATTGTTAACCAAATTAACAGTCAACACTTCCTGTCAGCTGATTCAAATTGTGACCCTGTCCTTATAAAAGTAGAATCCAGGCTGTCTTATCTCATCCTGGAAACAGATCCAGTTCAAACAGAAAAAAAACACAGTGGTATTCCTCCTAAGGTGGGGTCTATTTACTTTATATGAGAGGCAATATTGAAGCCATAGCCATCTGAAGAACACAAACTTCTAAAAAGAACAAAACTGAAAACACAACACTGAGTGGCTCTGAAGAGCAATAACAGTGTTTGGAAATTTCATTATATCATTTAATTCCATTTGGGTAGAATTAATGTGAAATTGTGCAGCACTGCATGGGCACTCTAGTCATGGGAAACCTGTATAATTATTAGACAAAAACTTTTTTTTTTAATGCAAAGCCTCACCAGGAAAAAAGTGCATCCGTGTTAAAAACAATTTTTTTTTTTATTTTTTTTTTTTTATACAGTAAGCAGTTAATCATTACCACACATTCCGAGTGTAAACAGAATTAGAGTTTCTGGTTACCGCACAGGATGGAACACACAAAAGACTGATGACTGAAAACCAAAAATGTAATATTTATCCTGTTTTTAATCATGCTAGCGGCATGGCTGTAGGAATGGTGGTGTCAGTCGGTTTTAGTCCTGACTGAAATATTTTAGATTTGCTATGAAATGTGTTTCAGACATTCATGGCACCCTTCATCTAGCGCCACCATCATGTTTAATTTTTAATTTGTCCAATACTTTGGTTATTGACCAAATACCTGCAAAACTATATCTGCCTCTTCTGTATTTGGTTTTTAGCGCTATTTAGCAAATGTTAGCATGCTAACGTATTGAACATGTAAACATTTTACATTAGCATGTTATCATTGTCGTGAACATGTTAGCATACTGATAAAAGCATGTAGCTAAAAGCTCTGCTGTGCCAAAGTACAGCCTGACAGAGCTGCTAGAATAGCTTTAAAGTAACCCTGTTTACTTTAAAAAACAAAAATTCTGTCTGTTCAAGTTGAAAATTCAGAGTATAAACACAACAGGCCAGGAAGTGTACTCCAGCCTAAAATGCAATGTCTGTCTTACCAACTGCATTCCCTGTTGCTCTACCAGCAAATGAGGTTATTACCGTTTGCTTTGTCAACACAAAATGAACAAAACTAGCAAGCAGTGGTAACGGATACTCAAAATTCTACAATGTGAGATATGAAGAAGCATTTTGGATTACACATAATGAAAAACTCATGGATAAAGGTGAAGCTGTTTTCTGACTTTGTAATGTAACTGTAAATGTTGCCAGTAATGTTAGCTCTCAAGAGAGGCAACAGAGGCTTAACACACTCGAGTCATTTGGCCGAAATGAATTGAATTTGTCATGTTTGCTCTAATTTATTACATTCAGTGGATGCAGTACTTGTGCCATCTGTACTTCTATCTTCGTAACTTAAGATTTATTTGTATTGTTTTGTTTCTGGTGTGATGTTGGGGTATGGCAATTCCCACCCTTGATCTGAAAATCCTGTTTAACCAATTATCCAATGAAAATTCTACACCTAACGTGTAGGTTGACTATGTGTTTTTGTCCATTTTGACTCTGAGGAAGACAATGTTAAAATGTCTGTTGGCATAATTAAAAGCTACAAATTAATAAGTGTGTTCCAGTCCTTTTTTTCTTGGAAGTTTGCTGTACTCAAACTAAGAATCTGATTCAGCTGAGTAGAAGAGACCAGAGTGCTGGATTTATGTCAGGATACTGCATGTCATGAGTGTTTACTCTTAGTCAAATCACACAGCTACACCTACACCTGGTTGCACATCTAGCCTGCCAGCTGGCATCTACAGTAGTCCCTGTCATTCCAAGTCATAAACATTTAAGGCAAAATATAAATATTGATAAGAACTCACATTGATAAGAGCCATGATCCAGAAAGCGTACGACACCCTGGTGACGACGACACCCTCTGTGTGCAGAGGATATTGGGAGATATTGTGGAGTGCTGCTCCGTGTCCAGCCATGCTGCTGCGGAGGTGCTGTAGGTCCGAGGAAGAAGATGAGTTGGCAGTCCAGTTGGCACCCAGGACACAGCTGTCCTCTGCCAGGAAAGGATCAGCCACCAAGGGACTGACCAGTGCTCCCAGGCCTATGAAGAAATGCAAGGCCTAGGGCGACACATGAACATAGATATTGGGGCTGTCCAGAAGCCTAGTGGTTAAGCATGATCATATAACTGCACCATCCCTGGTTTCATTCTGACCAGGATCCTTTGTTGCATGTCATATCCCTCTCTTTCCCTATATTTCCTGATTATATCTACATTATAAGCTGTCCAATAGAAGCAAAATACCCCCCAAAAATCTCAATGTCTAATTATTAATGATGATTTTTTTTCATGTTATGAGAGAAGAAACATGTCCATTTTGGTATTATTAAAGGTGGGGTAAGAGATTCTGGAGAATACCAATACTTGGACAAATACCACGATATAGTGCAAACAACAACACAGCGACTAATGTAACTAACATAGGCTGGGTTGTGGGTTAGCAAACTGGCGCTAAAGTAAACTAAAAGTAAGCTGAATGTCTGTGGGCAAGACGTTACCTGACACACAAATCCTGGTTGGAATGGCTGGAATAACATGTTAGTGTTGTGTGGCTCAGTCCAATTACTTGCTGAATTTGAAAAACAGTGTGATAAATTAGAATCACATTACCTAGAATCACTTACCCTACCTTAAAGATTTGTAGAGAGGTTGGAAACAGTATTTGAAAATTCATTTTAAAATTTATTTCTTCATAGATTATGAATATCTTCTATAGGTGAACAGTTCCAACTATATCCAACAAGTTATGTGTTTTTCTTTCTTAAAGCAGCTGTAATCATTATTTTTTTATGACAAATGTATCAAATAAGAATGTAAATACAATGTAATGAAGCTACAGACACATGTCTCTGTAGCACCTTATAGTTTAGCTATCTGACTTCAACTTCACTGTTTTAGTTCATTCTCACTGCTCTCATAGTGTTTTTCTCAGGGAAAAAGCTCTAACAACTTACTGTACACTACCAAACATCAGACAGACACATAAGACAAAACAGACAACATAATGGAGTTAGCAGCTAAAGAGCCAGGTATTTTCCCCAGGAGTTGGTAAAATGGAGCTAAAAGAGTCAATATTGGACTTAGAGTCATCACGTGGACACAAACACAGCTCCAAATTAATTCAGCTGGAACTGCTGGATGTGTAAATAAGGAACTATTTGCTCACACATTAGTCATATGAACTTAAAAGTGATGATCATATGTTCTCGCTATGTTCACTACTTGTTTCTATCTAAAGGTTTAAAGCTGCATCATTCGTTTTTTTGGGGGTTTGTTTGTTTTTTGGCCACTTGGGGGCATAACTCCACAATAATATATATATTTAATATATATATATATATATATATATATATAATATAACATATTATGGCCTTAACTGATATGGCTAACATGTTAGCAAACCATGACCTGTTAACACACTTAGCAAAGACAAAGCAACAATAACTTTCTGGTGACTTGATTAAATTGAATATTTACTTTGGTTTCAATCTGTTTTTGGTCAACAAAAGCTTATAAAGGTCATTACACATAGTCATGTGACCTATTATTCTTATCAACTTTGACTTTTTATAGTTTATTTTCACTTCAAGTTAATCAACCAGAATGATCTATAATATGTTATTGTGTATTACATATATTGTATTGGTCCACATCCTTAGCTGCTTCCTCTAGCACATACAGTACAGGTCAGGACACGGACACACATCCACAGCTGTTGTTTCCCCTCCCCTCCCCTCCCCCTGCTCTCACCTGCAGGAAGATGGCGGAGTCCTTCTGGTACAGCTTCACCAACTGCAGGTTGGCGATGGTGTCGATCACCCCCATGGCTTTGCCAGCAAGCGCCATGACAATGGACAACACAACAATATGATGGCATAGCGGTATGATGGCAAACACGAGCGAGATGATTAAAGTGCAGGAGAAGAGGGCTGACAGGGATGACAGGAGTCTGAGGAAGACACAGAAAGAGAAGACAATGATTCAACATATTATTTTTAAACTTGTCAGTGATCAGTGCTGTAACTAAAGCCAGGGGAGATTGAGCAGGGGATTTCCAACTTGCTGTTGTTGCAGTAAAGTCACCTTGCTCCACTAACGTTTATTTACCCAGCAGGTTTATCACAGCCCTCCAACAGCAGTACACCTCCACATTATCTTCACCTTGTTTTTTCCTTCCTGCCAACTTTCCACTCTCTTTTAACCTTGTTCAAGATAACTTAGTTAGTCAAGGGGACATTTCCTGTATCTGTGATATTGGGATACAAAAACATCACGTAAAGTAGCTGTAATCCGTAGTGGCAGAAATCAGAGGGTAAAAATTAATGGATGAACTGTACTGAACTACTACTCCCTTAAAGAACTATTCCCACATACTGTAACTCGCATCTGTTAGGAAGTACTTTATATTAAATAATATGTAAAACTTGTTGTGAAACAAACACTTTTTTAAAGCAGTGTTTGATGTTAGTCTACAGGACTCAATCCAGCATAAAGTATATAGTTTAAGCTTTCCAAAGTATGAGACATTGCATCAATACCACATGACTTGCACACCAATAAGCCAGCCTGGAAACGCCTGGGGAAATGACTAAATAACTGAGAGACAGTGTGTGTGTGTGTGTGTGTCTGTGTCTGAGTGCCACAAAATGTTTAGCTAGTACAAACTCCAAATTGTAGAAATGTATAGGTGGTTGAGTGACATGTGCTTTTTAGTCGTACTAGCAGCATGACCAGCCTCAGCTGTACTTTGGGTTTTTTCTTTTTGCTGTTACTGAAGGTGGTATACATGGTATAAACATCATTATGAGCATGTTAACATGCTGCCATTAGCATTTAGTTTAAAGCAAAGCCTCACAGTGTACAATCTTTTTTTCTTATTGAGGCCCAGTATAAGACGATAAACGTTTCTAGAGTAGGTGGCAGATTCAATCATTAGTGTGTGTGTTTAGAACACATCCCTACACACTCAGGTTCACATTTGCATAAGTTAAGGTTCACTTGCTGCACAATTTTTGATGTAAGGCACAGGCTTGAAATAACCATCTGTCATTTGAATGTTGCAGATAGGCCAGTCAAATTTAGAACACAGTCTAACTGTCAGAAATAAAAGTCTCAATGTGGTCATTAAAATACTTCAAATACATGCATTTAGTCAATCATATTCATTATTCAACCTCAAGGGCAGAGCCTTAGCCAGGGTTTTAGAACTGCTGAAGTCATATGGTGCATGGTAGCTCATCTTGTTGAGCATGCGCCATGTGCTAGGCCTTATTGCAGCAGCCCTGGTCCGATTCCAACCTGCAGCCCTTTGCTGCACGTCATCCCCTTACTTTGTCCCCAGTTTTCTATCACTCAGCTACTCAGAAATACTGTCATATATGTCCAAATTCCATATAAGAACCTCACCAGCTTACTTTTGACCTACCAACCAACTCTGTACAATTGTGTGTGTCCCCCCCCCCCCAAAAAAAAAAATCTTATGTTTTCTGTATTCACTTGTGTTCACTTTGATCTCTCTGTGTTACGGTATAAATGTTACAAAACCTTTTCTACACTGCCAGGTATGTAATTCTGGTAGAGAATACAAATTCTGCCTAAAATACACTATACAAATTTTACAGAATGCATATGAATAGGAATATTTCTTGGACTGAGAATTATATACAGAAATATGGCCATATTTAAGAATGTTAGATTAAATGATACTGTTCTTTAAGTATGTTTTTTCTTGGCTTTATCTCCTTATTTGGGTCCCACAGACAGATTAAAAAAAAAAAGGAATTGCGAAATAAACCTATTTTCCCTTTAAAAACGTTTTTTCGTTTCGTATGACCTTAATAAGCTGACAATTAAGCGTATACAACAAAGTGATAGGACAAGTTGTGTCATGTCATTGCAAAACGCTTAGGAGGTAGTAACATAAAATAAAGATTAGACTTTGCAATTCCACCCAACAAAGCGAAAGCTTCATGTACAAGAAGAGACCGTACTATCGCCTCATGCAAAGAAGTCTTAACTTGGGTATATATTCTTTGTTTGCAAGTCGTTCACTGAGAAGATATACCAGGTAGATTCCCAATATAAATAAGTGACAGTGGCAGAGAGAATTATATGTTTGGGTTCAGTTAGAGCCCAGAGAAGGTCAACCTGTTCAGACCAAATTCGGGTCTTTGACATCCCAGACTTAAGTAATGCCTCAGCTTCTGTAAAGGACTTCCTAAACATGTCATCAGTATATATATATATAACTGTTGTCTTCTAGTACGTGTGACCCTCTCACTAACCATACCCACGTTTTCTTGAAGAGTCCTCCCATGCTGCTGCCCACCAACAGGAAGAACTGCTGGGAGAAGAAGACCCATGTGATCTGCTGCAGGGTGGACTGGGTCTGACACCTCAGGTCCAGGATGGTCGGTCCCAGGAAGGCGATGCACAAGCCGAAGCTAAAGAAGACGCTCCAGTAGATGAGAGTTTGCGGCCAGTTGCGCTTAAACAGCGACCAGATCCGCTCGTCCAGCAGCTTCATGTCGGTCCTTCAAAGGAGTTCTGACCCACTCCTGAGCTCTCCAGAGGCCGAACTGCTGTCACTGACAGCGTGGAGCACTGTCAGACTGAACTACACAAACTGCCAACGGAGAAAATAAACACAGCTTCACTGGTCAACTCACAAGTTCAGTGCCAGTTATCCTATTGACGGACGTGGCACCGATTGGCTGATGTCCAAAGGTAACGCCCACTTTCTGGCTGGCTTCAGATCAGTTTTTCTTTCACTAGCGCATGAAGACTTGGGTCATACTTTAGAACAAATAAATAGTGGTGGAAGAAGTACTCAGACTTGCATTGTCTTAAGTAGAAGTAAATCCCTACAGAGAATTAGCCTCTGGAGTCAGTCCGTCCATAGGCGAATACAGTATTAATTAGTTAGAGGAACATAACTTTATTCATATCAGGTAGAGATTACTGATGTGGGGCTTCAATACAGTATATAATCTTTGTATATATTTAATATATTTTGAAAGAAATTATTAAAAGTGTGAATTTAATTTTGTCAGTAGGCACAATACATGTAAACAGACTGTATTATAATTTTGTTTCTTATATTTTTGTTGTGTATAACTGGTGAAACAATTTTTTCCTTCTTACACCTTTTTTCTCAAGGGACCCCTTTTCTGTAACTGACAACCCCTGAGTAAGTGACATTTTTTGGGATGGTTCATATTATATTAAAAACTGTACAATTAACCTTTCTGTAAAATAAGTGATGTGGATGAATTTTGAGCAGAAATAGATTTCCTGTTTAGAGAACTTTTATACAATTCTCTGTCAGTATACTGAATACACCAATGTAAGATAATCCAGTACTGAACAAGTTAAAGCCCTGCATTTAAAATTACACAAATATTATTAGCAATGTACTTAAAGTATCAAAAGTATTTGCCCCCTAGTTATAAGACTTAATATGGATACATCTACCTGGTTAAAATGTGCTAGTTTTTGCCTCAAACAATTATTTAAATGAAACCTTGTGAGAGTTGTAGAGTGGAAATCACCCTTTGAACTGCTAACAACTAATAGACCTCTAAAACAAGGGCCCCAAGTAGACAAGGTTTTTTGTAAGGGGTTTGGTATTGTATTTTATAGGCTTATATGTTCCATGCAAAATTTTTATATAATCTACTTGTGACAAAGTAGACTCATCTCTGTCATTTGTCACTTATTTTTTAAGGTATTTACTTGTTAGGTTACCTGTTTGTTTTTATTGGTACACCTTTTGTTTATTCAATTACATTAAACGTAAATGAATTTCAGCTGGTAAGCACGTGCCACTACTATCCCCGGGTCTGTTTGTGTTCATACGTTATTCTTTATAATCTTCAACCATCCTTCAATCCAAGTTACAAACAATAATGGGCAGGCAAAGGTTGTTTTTTTCCAGTAATTTTTATATTTTTTGTTTGATTGTATATTCATTTGATTTAGCACATATAAAGTGTAATTATTTCAGTATGTCTCTTACCTGACGCCCGAAAGCCGTTGTGTGGGAGGGGTGGCCGCCCCGCAATGTGCCCGGGTGTAAATGAATACGATAACGTACAGGGGAGTTCCCATGTTAACGGGGAAAGTCTGTATATTATTCTGTTTTCCGTCCATTTTATGCACTGGTGTGGGAATATTGAGTTGGTTGTTACTATTCAAACACCATAAGGAAATTTGAGTGATAATTATGGTTAAATGTATTGAAGCTTGTGTCCTTGAAAAAGATATCTGTAACTAATACCCCTGAGTGAGATGGTTTTAATCACATCTAGTCTTCCAGGCAGGTAAGAAATTGTATAGAGGGTCAGTTCTTGGGGGAAGTGAGAAGAAGGGGGAGGAGATGATATGCGGCTGAAGATAAAGTGATTGTTTATACATTTGAGCCAAGTTTCATGTATGGTTGATTTTTTCTCAGTTTTTTTTTTTTTTTTTTGGCTTTTTCCACCATTTTGGGGAAGCACTTAAATAGAATGCCCACACAAGAAGGGACTTCTACCTACAACGTCCCCTGAGGTCCTTGCCATCCCTTTACTTTTGAACCTATCTCTGGCACCACCTATCTTACACTACTGTAACTAGTAACCGCAGGTGTCAGATAAATGTAGTGGTGTAGAAATATAAAATGCAGCATGAAATGGAAACACTGAAGTGAAGTACAAGTATCACCAAATTTATGTATGTATTTAGTTACTTTCCACCACTGGAAATCAATCATTATATCCCCTGGCTTTTGTGTTAATTTTTGCAATCTTTAAAGTAAAGAAATGACAGTATACAACTGTTAAGGGAGTAGGGCAGAGTTATGTTTTACCCAGCTAACACAATAAATTAGAGGAAGTGAAATGAAATATACCGTATATGCTTACAAAGCTTAGAAAAATGTGCCCGCCTTGAGCTTTGTTGAATTCCTACATGTCTGTGGGATTATGTAGCAGCTACTTGATCCCATTGACATCCAACAATTGAGAACAAATAGCCTAATATTGCTGTTTTTATCATATCATATAAAACTGGATGTAAATATAAAACAGGGCTCAAGGTAAGTAAGAAAAATTGTATAATGGCAGTCCTAAAGCATGGTTTCCTTTTGATATTAAATAAGAAAATATTTATTAAAAAGCATTAAGCATTGTTTTCACCTTCAGTTGCCCCTAGTGGAGACCTGCCTCTTACTTTGGAAGTAAGTAATCAAAAAATGTTTGATTTCATGTGATAATGGATAGAATTTGTGATAATTATTCACCACAACATGGCTATAATGTCATGAAATATGAACAACCAGGACAACAAAACACATGGTCCCTCTACACATACACAGTGATCACCAGCACTGTATGCACTACATCTATCTGCCTGAATGATCACCTCCCTGTACCATCATGAAGTGCTTTGAGCAGTTAGTCAAAACCTTCATCATCTCTCCCCTCCTTGACTCACTACACTCTCTTAATTTACGAGCAAACCAAACAGATCAATGGGCGACACCATGTCTCTCCCACCTGGGCCAGAGGAACGAGAATGCTGTTGAATACCGTATAGCAGTCAATACCTTTGTGCCCTCCAAGCTCGTCATCAAGCTCAGAAACCTGGGGCTTGACATCTTGATTGGATTATGAACTTCTTGACGGGCAGACCCCAGGCATGCTCAGTCCTCTCCTGTACTCCCTGTTCACGCAATAATACATGACCACCCACTGCTCCAGCACCTTCATCAAGTTTGCTGACAACACAACCATCATCAGCCTGATTACAGACGGCCTGTACAGATCCCTGAAATCTTGATGCCAGGACAACAACCTCCATCTCAACATCAGAAAAACAAAGGAGCTGACTGTGGACAGCAAGAAGCGAGAGAGAAGGACACACCTCCATCTCTGAGAATGGGATTGCGGTGGAGAGAGTCTGCGACTTCAGGATGGGACCTAAACCTGAACTCACCACACCGACACCATCACAAAGACAGACAGCAGCTCTTATTCCTCCACAGGCTGGAGACTCTGCAACTTCTGCAGGTTCACCATAGACCCTTTTCACAGCAGCCATTTTGACATGAAATAGGGTAATCACAGGTATTAGCATTGTTCCAGTTCTGTTTGACCTGAATGGAATAGGACCTTAATTAGTATCATTTGTAACACCTGTGTTTAACCCTGCTATTTCAACAGTAAAGCTCTACAGAGGGTGGTGAAAACTGCACAGACCATCACCAGGATGAAGTTGCCATCCATGGAGGACCTCTACACCCAGCAGGAAGAAAGCCAACAGGATCACCCAGCCACAAACTGTTCTACCAGCTGCTATCAGGCAGACATTAACACAGTATCCGGTCCCTGCATCAGGTAGGTTCAGAAACAGCTTCATCCTGCAGCCCATAGACTTTTGAAATCTCAAGCTCATTACTTTACTCACACTGCATTAGTACTCTTATTTAATGTTACTAATTTTTTTTGTTTTTCATGGTAATGTGACTGATGATGACAGGTCAATACCATAAGCCTTGAACTGAGTAATAATTTAAAAGTTATGGGAAATGAACAAGACTATATTTCCTTATTTATGCTTTTGAAATTATGATGTTACAATTATGTTATATATTTTGTATTGCTGCCACTATCACCAGCTGTGCATCAATTTAAAAAACTAACTTGACATCCTCTTACATGCAGTAGACCAATAGCACCATCTTCTGTTCACCTATATTACTGTACCCTCCAAAAACTAAACCACATCAGCTAACAATGGTATAAGAAGCCAAAAAGACACAGAACAAGTGAGTGTTCCAGAATTTCCATTATTGTATTCATTAATTAATCTAATCAATAATCAATCAATTTAAC